TGTGTGATAGAAAATGATTATCTAGCACAGGCTGAATAATGGCTTTGTGAAAGAGAGCTGTAATCCCCTGCAATGAAGAGAAGGAGAAGAAGAAATCAATGAGAAAGAAGGAAGATATGGTCATGTTAATTAGCCAGCTCTCGTAAACCTGCTCCGGACCTGCACGGGTGCCGTGAAACAGCTGGACTTTATTTCCTCTGGTGTTGTACAGACACTATTCCTGCGCTCATTAGATCAGTAGATCAGTATGTGGATATGTTAAATGCCTTCATGCAAATTCAAGTGCTGTTTCGAGCTGCAGGGTAAATACAGTTCGGGTCGGGTTAGGAAACTGGCCGACTTCCTCTCCTTCCCAGCATGCTAAATAATTACTCATGCAGATTGGAGATTTATGCAGGAATGTACTTGATGCGAAATGACAATATTGTGAATGTGCTTGACGAGTCCTGACATAATATGTGATGAAATCCTTAGGCCTTAGAGTTTTTCTCTATGTAAAAAGCTCAACTTCTCAGATTTTACTGCGATAGTGAGACAACAATGAATCTAGATAATAAACTAGCTAGGACTGTTAAGAGCATTGTCATGGTTACAGTGGACGCATTGTGTGACATAAACAGGACTTTTGTGATTGTTGCGGCCAAAAATGCTCGATTTTGCTGCAGCTTTATTTCAAAATTTGTGATTATTGTGCTTTTATTTTTGGCAGAAAACGACCTAAATTGGCGAAATTGCAATTGGAAGAAATTGTTTTGCAATCTTCTGTACGATGTTTGTTGGTAAATGAGACCTTTTAGCGTTAGTTATGTTCGATACACCTGAATCGAAGAGTGCTTTGGCTGAACGCACGTTGTGATGATGTCACACGATGCGTCTTGGACCAAATCTGTGGTAAATTTGTAAAGCTGCAAATTCCTGCAATATTGCGACGTTTCCTCCACTTTGTGTTCATTTCTGCGATCCTGGAGGGATTTGTAAAAAACAAACAAACAATCAATCCATCCATACATCTTCTATACCGCTTAATCCTTTTCAGGGTCACAGGGAAAACTGGGAACATCCCAGGGAGCATCAGGCACAAGGCGGGGTACACCCTGGACAGGGTGTCAGTCCATCGCAGGGCACAATCACATACACACTCACACACCCATTCATACACTACAGACACTTTAGACACGCCAATCAGCCTACCATGCATGTCTTTGGACTGGGGGAGGAAACCGGAGTACCCGGAGGAAACCCCCGCAGCACGGGGAGAACATGCAAACTCCACACACACAGGACCACGGTGGGAATCGAACCCCCAACCCTGGAGGTGTGAGGCTAACAAAATAAAAGTGTTTAGGAGCCTAAAATACCCTTGAAGGTCCCACTTCAGAGTTCTCCAGAGAACTCAGCACTCTGAAAGACCATTGCACAGGAGATATGATAGTCATGTGTCCTCTTAAACAGAGACCACATAAACGGGAGTGGCTGCGAGGTAGAAAGTAGTGTATTTTATTTGTTAGGCAATCCGAAGATAAAGGCTGTTCTTTTATGAAAGAAGAAAACAGACTTTTGTCTGATAAAAGACTTTCATTTTTCTTCCAGATTTGAAAGCACGCTAACATCCTGTTTAGCAGACGAGATCCCAGTGCAAGGCTGATGAAATGGCCAACACAGGAACAGGAATTTTTAACAAAGGATGTTGTGTTTTACATTTAGAGAATGTTTTCTCTCTACTCAAGCCAAGTTCTCAGAGTCTACAAGTGATTTGAAAATAACTGGCCACTTCCCAGACTGTGACAGTCATCTGATCAACAGCTCCTTCATTACCAGATCACTCCCATTTCAAGATGTCTCCTGCTTCTTTTTAGGGTGTTATCACACGTGCATTTTTATTTGCCAGACTCAGAGCTGCTCGAGCCCTGAGCTTAGAATGGCTGGTAATTGGTGCCTGGGGGCGGTACAAGAGATCGATCCTTGGTCCTCTTGAAAAAAACTGGTGGTCTGGTGAATTCTTCCACCGAACCGTAGCAACGGTCTGCATCAGGTGTGGAAGCTTAATTGCTGTTTTTACTTTTTGTGATGCCAGCAAAGAGTTATTATGGTTAATTGATATGTAAAAACAGACTTTTGATAGGACTCTAGTTCTCACATTCCCTCCCAGTGTCCGCATGGGTTTCTTCTGCGCTGTCTGGTTTCCTCTCACTCAACAAAAAAAAACCCCAACATGCTAGGATTTGCTAACTAGGCTTAAGTGCTATACTATGTGTGTGTGTGTGTGTGTGTGTATATATATATATATATATAACACAAACACATGTCCTAGCTTACATTACCTTACTTAGCTCATTAGTTAGCACACATTCTATCTAAGTTTGCTGAGACGTTAGTGAGTAAACAAGTGTAAAGTGTACACCAGCAGTGGGAGTGAGAGCAGATGAATGCAGTTCTTGTCAAGATTCATTACTAAAATGCTGCCCAACAAGACAGATACCGCCAAAGAAGTCTCACAAACAAACAGAATTAGGTTCAGCGTTCTCTGTTGACAGCCCTGAACAGGCAGAGACAAGGAGCAGCTGATTTGAAGTGTAGTGCCAAATTCAAAGCACACATTGTAGTGTGGGAGAGAGAAGAGGGTGGGTGGGGAGGATGGTGAGGGGGAACCAGACTATCTCTTTATGACACTTCAGACCCAGCACAGATGAGCGGTGGAATAGTAATTAAGCAGCATAAATAGAGAAACACTCTTCGTGGGCTGTGATGTTGCAACATCACCTGTAGTATTAAACATCGTTTCTCAGCTGTATAGAAATTATGGCTGCAACTAACCATTAGTCTGATAATTCGTTAATAAATTGTTTTTGTTTTTAATTAATCGGTTAGATGGATATTTTAAACACTAAAAAAATACTACTATAACTATAACGCACATCCTGACGTGATGTATACCACAGAAATGTGCTAACATTTAGGTTTTAGGAGTCCTTAAAATGCCCTGTGATGGACTGGCAACCTGTCCAGGGTGTACCCCGCCTTGTGCCCGATGCTCCTTGGTATAGGCTCCAGGTTCCCCCCGACCCTGAACAAGGAGTAAGCGGTAGAAGATGGATGGATGGACTCATTAAAATGCATGATGTGTTGTTCTTTATCCATTTCCAGTTGTCACCGTTGGGCCCTTGAGCAAGGCCCTTAACCCTCTCTGCTCCAGGGGCGCTGTATCATGGCTGACCCTGCACTCTGACCCCAACTTCCTAACATGCTGGGGTATGTGAACAAAAGAATTTCACTGTGCTGTAATGTATATGTGATTAATAAAGACTCATTATCATTATCAATAATTGATTTATTGATACTATAAACATGGCTAAACTGCCATATCAGACAGCAGTGTAGACACGTCCTACGTGTTTCCAGGATCAGTTATACCTATGCCACATAGGAACAAGTGATCGTTGACATGCGTATACATTCTCCAGATGAGTGCGAGGGAAATAACTAACCATAGCAGTAAGATGCAGCAGTCTATAGAGAAGCTGAGAAATAATGAGTAGAAGCCTGAAAAATGAGGTACTCTCTGGGTGCTCTCTTGAGAGTGTCATTTGCTGGCTTTGCTTACTTTTTTTTTTTCTTTTCCTGAGCTTATTTACTAAACTGAAAAGGGCCAACTAGTGCCAATTGTGTGAGACTCACCCCAGATAGTACATACAGGCTTGACCCTTACACCATACACACAAAGGTGTAACCAGGGTTCATGCTATGAGCAATAAAAAGTAATCAATTGAAATGCTTTTCTCTTTATTAACATCTACCCATTCTCCCCCCCAATCAAGTTCCTTACTCCAGTGATTCTCATCCCTTTTGTGTCAGGCTGCAACTCCTCGAAAGTTTTGCACCGCCTCCCTCTGGACTCTAAATCTCACTATAGCAACCTCCATTTTTCTGTCCAGGGGATGAGATGCATTGAAAACCCTTCGCTTGTGTACTCCGCTCCTGTTGTAAACATGTTATTTCGCTGCTGTAACTTTATCATACAGGATGAAAATGGCAACAAATAAACTATAATCCTCTCTGGAAGTATTGGAAAGGCAAAGGCAATTTCCCCCCCTCTTTTTGCTAAACATTGAAGATGCTTGGGTTTGAGATCAAAAAGATAAAAATGAGACAATAGATCAGAATTTCAACTTTCATTTCCTGATATTTACATCAAGATGCCCTGTTAGACTGAATTGTTTATTCAATATTCACTAGCCTGTGAAGACTGCATTGGTTGAAAAGGGTAAACCAACATGAAGACCAGAGAGCTGTCTATGGGAGAAATGCAAGGCATTTTGAAGCTGAGAAAATCAATCAAAGGCATTGCACAAACATTGGGCATAGCCAATCAAAACAATTTGGAGTGTCCACTAGTGTACTAACAGCCAGACCTCGAACAGGTCAGCTAAAGAAAACAACAACAGGTTATGACAAAAAAAAAAAATTGTGATGGCTTGCCTTGCTGGTACTTTCAGAGGGGAGTGTACATTTGGCTAATCAGTGCTGCATATTGCACACCCTCTTTCAGCTTATAACAACAATGTGATCAATACTGCCAGTGTAAGCGATTTTATGGAAAAGTCATTCAAAAAATTTTATTCTAAGAAAGAACAACAAAAAGGGGATTTGATCATTTTACATTTTGTTTGATATATGTAGAAGCAAGTGCAAAGAGACCTACAAAGATTTTTTCCGTTTGTTATTAAATGGTTGATACATCCATCCACCCATCTTCGATACCGCATATCCTTTTCAGGGTCACGGGGAACCTATCACAGGGAGCATCGGGCACAAGGCGGGGTACACCCTGTACAGGGTGCCAATCCATCGCAGAGCACAATCACATACACACTCACGCACCCATTCATACACTATGGACACATTAGACAAGCCAATCAGCCTACCATGCATGTCTTTGGACTGGGGGAGGAAACCGGAATACCCGGAGGAAACCCCCGCAGCACAGGGAGAACATGCAAATTCCACACACACAGGGACTTGAACCCCCGACCCTGGAGGTGTGAGGTAAACATGCTAACCACTAAGCCACCGTGCGCCCCTGGTTGATACAGTGAAAGTGTTATATTTTTAGGCCAGGTTATCATACCATTCAAATTTCATAAAACCTCTAGGCACACCAACGTATTTATGTTTTATAGTTAATACTAGCACTTTTTTTTTCTTCTATATTCTTAAAAAGTTTATCCTCCACCTGTGTATGCCTGTAATAAAGCACTCGTTTAGAGTTGCATTAGGATCTACGAGCGAGCAGCTAATAAGCTTTTCTTCTTTCATTGCTATTCTGTAACTGTTTTGTTGGTCTGTGGTTATAATAGTGATTAAAGTAATCAAACATAATCTCCAGGTGTTCGAGACGTTCGATTAGTGGTGTATAAGATACATGCTGTTTAAGGCAGAGTGTGCAACTGCAGATAAAGTGAGGCCTCGACTGTCACGTCCTTCAGTTAAAATATGAGAAGTTGGCAAACGTTAGCCCACGCACGTCTTGTGAGATGCATGAGCCGCTGAGCAGTGCTCCCTCACCGAGCCGTCGTCACGAGCGGGTTTTAGTTAGTGAGCGATGACTCTGTGTTGAGCTGTTTACCGCACGCTCATTCCGCTCTCGCCGACTTTAAAATGGAAGCACGCACTCACCGACAGGCCAACGTGTCATCCTGTCGAAAGGGCCATATGAGACTGAAATCAGAGCCTTTTTTTTTTTTTTTTTTTATCATCGTGTATGAGGCAGGGTTTTTTTTTTTTTCTTAAATATACTGCACCTGAGTCTTACTGCAAAATGCCAAATGTAGGCTTGGATTACGTTTTAGAAATCTAACTCTCTGGAATTGTGGGCAGGAGAACAATGTGCTCATTCCAGCCTAATTATTCAACATTTCCAGTGCAAGAGAAGCTTCACTTTTATGCATTTCAACAGAGGTCCTACTGTGATGTGTATCTCATGCAGATGTTGTAAGAAGACTGAATTCTATGCTCCAAACAAAAGGTTTACTCTGAATTTGAGGCCATCCACTGGCTGTCCATAGTTCAGCGAGCAGACGATTAGTTGTGGTTTATAAACATGCATTAGCATGCTTGCTTCGCAACCTCTGGGGTTCAATTCCTCCCTCCATCCTGTGTAAGCAGAGATCGCATCTTTTTACCGGGCTTCAGGGGTTTACTCTGGGCCTCAGGTTTTAACCCCAATCCAAAGACGTGTGTTCTAGGCTGATTGCTATCTCTAAATTGTCAGTAGTGTGTGTGTGTGTGTGTGTGTGTGTGTGTGTGAAATTGTCTCCTGTGATGGGTTGGCACTCCATCCAGGGTGTCCCCGCCTTGTACCTCGAGTTCCCTGGGATAGGCTTCAGGCTCCTGTGTGACCCTGTGTGGGATAAGTGCTACATAAAATGGATGCATGGATAGATGGATAGCTACAAGTTGAAAGACAGTTAGATCAGAAAGGACAGTTTTCACAGACTTTTGTTAATTTTTTATTTATTTTTTATTTACTTTTGCCTTTCTGGTCTAATTAATGAACAACATAGCTTGTTTAAACATTCTGTTTTTGTCATTTAAAAAAAATGATGAATGGATAAAGAAATGTGGGTTCATTTTATAGGGATCAATGAACCTTGGACACCCATGAACCTACGATTGGTTCACTGGTTATCCTTCCTTGGACTACTTTTGGTAAGTACTAACCACTCTAGCCATGACAATTTGGCCCTTGTCAAAGTCGCTCAGATCCTTACACTTGAACATTTTTCCTGCTTCCAACACATCAACTTCAAGAGTTAGCGGTTAAGAGTTCACTCATTCAGTCATGTTAGCTGCTAATCTGGACTTTTATAACCAAGGAACAAAATTTTATGTAACGGAACCTTTTTTTGAATTATAATTGAACATGTGATCTAAATTATTTGTGCTTAAAGATACAATCAGTAAATATTCCAGTAAATAAAACAACATACACACACACACACACACACATAACACTGACACAAAAGCAGGGCATCTTTCAGTACAGGCAACCGATGCAAAAAAAAAATCATAAAAGTTTAATGCGTAGCCATCAATATGGCAGCTAATCTCCATTCCTCTGGAGAAAGGCGGCTTTGAAGCCTCGTCGTTTGTCAATAGTCAACAAGCATGGTATTTATGGATGCTCTTTTGAAACGGGAGCGAAGGGACAGTTTGCAGTGGAGATGGCCTTATATCATTCTGATCCCTTCAGGTATTTCCGTGATCTCTCCCTCTGCTCGTCTGTAAAGATTTCCCCGCTACGATCGTGTATTGACATGTTAACTACACGAGTGCGACTCTTCTGTTGACTCACTGGCGCACATATTGTAAGTGAGTCACCTCTATCTGAGTGTGTGTACAGTGAAAAAGGTAGAAAAGGTAGTCATCAGTTCATCTCTTGCTGGAGGAGAGGGTGAAAAAAAAAAGAAAAGGAAAGGACGAAGGGAAAAGATGAGATAAGCCGGCGATGTACTCGTCCCACAGGATCTGAGCTATAGCTACGGCAGCACATTGCTTGGCTTTGCAATTAGCCTCTGCACCGCAGCCACATTCCTCACCTGGACTCATCCGTCTCTCTCTTTCTCTTTCCCTCTCTCGCCTCTCTCACACACACACACACACACACACACAAGCACACCTTCGAGAAACTATCTTTCATGCTAAATCTGTTCGGTATGTGTGGTGCTAGACAAAACCGCTGGTAACCGCTACAAAACAAAACATACCCACTTTAAATTGTCCAAAATGATGGTTGTTGCACTCAATTTTGGTGCTTAAAGACATTTCAGTTAGCGTGTTCAACGCTTTTTTCCCGTGTCATGCCTCTTCATTACACATAACTTCATTTATGGACTTTAACGTTGTGAATTATTTATATTTCCACTGATGTCTGGTGAAATTTTCACATGAATAACCTCATTGGAAATATATTGGCGGGAAAAAAATGTTGATACTTGATACAACCCAATACTTGTGTTGTCCCCCCTGTCCCCCCTTCCAGCACCATAGACCCACGTACCTGAACATCAACATTCCTGTCACTGAGTAATAAAAACCTGATACATCTATATTAGATATTACACAGATGAACATCATCGCGCTTTAAAAATCAATTTCAACATTGTTAATATCTCATTTGGCCCACGAAGTGGAGCACTGAATATTCAGAGCTGCTCTGCTCCACAACCATCCGAGATTAATTTGAATGTCACGACACTCATTTTAGCGAGCTGATTGTTAAATTGATTTAATTATCGAATCCTCCTCGCTGACATTGATCAACCCTCATTAAAAGGAGGCGTCTATCCGTGTAATTGGCTTTGATGCATATCAAGTCAGAGAGGCGCGCAGTGGTGCGGCCAAACAAGAAACTCGGCACACAGACTGTGGAGGAACACCACGACCCCAAATGTGGCCTTTGAGGTGGAAAACCTTGACATATTCTCTGCTTATGCTGTTCTTCATATTTACACTTCATATAGTTCTGATATACAGTGGTGTGAAAAAGTGTTTGCCCCCTTCCTCATTTCCTGTTCCTTTGCATGTTTGTCACACTTAAGTGTTTCGGAACATCAAACCAATTTAAACAATAGTCAAGGACAACACAAGTAAACACAAAATGCAATTTGTAAATGAAGGTGTTTATTATTAAAGGTGAAAAAAAATCCAAACCATCATGGCCCTGTGTGAAAAAGTGATTGCCCCCCTTGTTAAAACATACTATAACTGTGGTTGTCCACACCTGAGTTCAATTTCTCTAGCTACACCCAGGCCTGATTATTGCCACACCTGTTCACAATCAAGGCATCACTTAAATAGGAGCTGCTTGACACAGTAAGGTCCACCAGAAGATCCTTAAATTCTACACATCATGCCAAAACCCAAAGAAATTCAGGAAGAATTGAGAAAGAAAGTAATTGAGATCTATTAGTCTGGAAAGGGTTATAAAGCCATTTCCAAAGCTTTGGGAATCCAGCGAACCACAGTGAGAGCCATTATACACAAATGGCGAAGACATGGAACAATGGTGAACCTTCCCAGGAGTGGCCGGCCGCCCAAAATTACCCCAAGAGCGCAGCGACGACTCATCCAAAAGGTCACAAAAGACCCCACAACAACGTCCAAAGAACTGCAGGCCTCACTTGCCTCAGTTAAGGTCAGTGTTCATGCCTCCACCATCAGGAAAAGACTGGGCAAAAATGGCCTGCATGGCAGAGTTCCAAGGAGAAAACCACTGCTGAGCAAAAAGAACATCAAAGCTCGTCTCAATTTCTCCACTACACATCTTAATGATCCCCAAGACTTTTGGGACAACATTCTGTGGACCGATGAGACAAAAGTGGAACTCTTTGGAAGGTGTGTGTCCAAGTATATCTGGCGTAGAAGGAACACTGCATTTCATAAAAAGAACATTATACCAACAGTAAAATATGGTGGTGGTAGTGTGATGGTCTGGGGCTGTTTTGCGCTTCAGGACCTGGAAGACTTGCCGTGATAAAAGGGAACTATGAATTCTGCTGTCTACCAAGAGATCCTGAAGGAGAATGTCCGACCATCTGTTCGGTACTCAAGCTGAGACGAATTTTGGGTTCTGCAGCAGGACAATGATCCTAAACACACCAGCAAGTCCACCACAGAATGGCTGAAGAAAAACAAAATGAAGACTTTGGAGTGGCCTAGCCAAAGTCCTGACCTGAATCCTATTGAGATATTGTGGTATGACCTTAAAAAGGCCGTTCATGCTCGAAACCCTCTAATGTAACTGAATTAGGACAATTCTGCAAAGATGAGTGGGCCAAAATTCCTCCAGGACGCTGTAAAAGCCTCATTGCACGTTATCGCAAACGCTTGGTTGCAGTTGTTGCTGCTAAGGGTGGCCCAACCAGTTATTAGGTTTAGGGGGCAATCACTTTTTCACACAGGGCCATGATGGTTTGGATTTTTTTTCACCTTTAATAATAAACACCTTCATTTACAAATTGCATTTTGTGTTTACTTGTGTTGTCCTTGACTATTGTTTAAATTGGTTTGATGTTC